TTAAAATAATTTTATTCAAAAAGGGTAAGTTGTATCCAAAAAACGCAAAAAACCTCTTTTTCGTGAAAAACTATAGAATTTAGAATTTCGCTGCTGAAAGAGACAAGAAACTTCAGCCAAAATATTTAGAGTACTTTTTATCCTAAGTACCCCCCCTCCCCCACAGTTTACGACGCCCCTGACTGAAAATTTCGACATAAAAGTAATCAACGGTACCAAATTTTGTAACTTTATGTAAAATGGTTTTTAAAATATTGGAGATAATCCATTAAAACATGCATCCCTTTCAGGGTGTAGTTCCTTACAAAGTATTTTTGAATACATGTTCATAGAAAACTTTTATCTTAAACTTAAATATTTTATCACCTGTTTAAATTTGTAACAATAAAAATGGAACACCCTGTATAGTTTATAAAAAATCACCAGCCTTATGGGACTGTAAACACAACAAAGTTCCACAGAAAGCAAAAACCAATATTTTAACACGCCCACAAATACTTATCGTGCGATAGTGGTGTTAGTGTAATACCTACCGCCCTAAAATGGAAAATTTGCAATTAGCGTGCTGCAGTGCACTTGTATCAGATTGGCTGTGACCTCGTTAAAAATCACGCCAACTGAAAACTAGCGTTTGGACGAGTACACAAGCACGCCTGAAATTTTTTCAGCATCAACGATCAACTTACTTTTATTAACCAATGGATCATCTGAGTGTGAAACAAATTTTTTGTAGTGTATAATAGTGGAGAGTTTTAAGGCAGGGCTACTTACTGTGGTCTTGCAACTCCTCAACGTATATATGGAGTTCTCCGCGAATTGTTGGAAGTTGGATTTCGTTTCTTCGTTCGTAGTTGTTGTTGATGTTTTGGTTCGATTGCAATGTGAGTTGCTTGATGCGTTCCATGGTGTAGGGCTCGTCGGATATCACCAGGTGGCGCTCGAGGATGTTTGTGGCCTAAACAAATGCAATTTTTTTTTTCAATAAAAACAAATATGTGATGAAAATTTTACGTGGTAGTGATATTCCGGCATAAATAACTTTTTGATAGCTGAGGGGTGGTCCACACTGGCTTCGTCCCAGGCTTGGTTTCGTGGTACGAAATAAGTAAATTTCTTGGTGGTATCGCTGAGTTGGTTATTGAAGCCTCCTTGATTGCCCAAACGGAATGTATAGCTGTAGAGATAAATGTGTTAAGTTTTCTAAACTTTCAAATATGAAATATGGAAGTTACTTGAGTGAATAATCCGTTCGCAACTTGTCGTAGACTGTGGTGTAAGGAACTCCCAATACTCTATCGATTACATGAATGATACCATTTGTGGCTGCGAGGTCTGGTTGAATTACAGTGGCGTTTACGCCGCCTCCTTCAACGGTGACGGTGCGGTTGGTGCCGGATGTTACTACATTGAAGTATAGGTCGTTGCGGGGGTCGAGAGTGTGCACCTTTAGGGAGGGAATAACATTAATGATAATACATCGTACACCTGGCCAACTACTTGAGCAGGAGTCACTTTACAATAATAAAATATTCAAACGTCCGTTTGAGAATTATTTGGCCATTAACATTGATAAAAATAATAGTTATTTGTATATCAAGAAAATAAAGAACAATTTTAATCCCGAGAATGTAGGTAATGCCGAGGGCATTTTTTCATTCGATGTTTATTCTAGAGATGCATACAAAACTTTCCTGACAACAGACTAAATTAATAATAATGATAACATAAGAAAGTGATAGATTTGTCAAAATATTCAGTTAATTCAACTGCTTTTTTTAAGAGCTAAAGAGAAAAAACCGGTATTTCAGATTATTAGTCAAAAATTGGGGAATAAAGCTTCACTTTATTCCATGTTAGGGAAAAAATCATAATCAAACTCGGTTGACAAAACACCGGTCGTTAGGATTCTTAGAAGTGTCCTAAAAAAATCAAAACAAAAGTTTTCCAAAAGTCCCATGAGGAAAATTTTTAGGATCTGCTTTTACTTATCTGCTGAATTCCAAAAACCCGATCAAAGTTATAGTTTCGGCCAAAGAAGCATTTTTAATTTTTCGACTTTTTAAAAAATTAAAAAAATATAATTATGAAAATAAGTGGTTTTAGCTGAAACGTTGACACCGGCGAAATTCCCGGACTATTTTGGCAAGTCCAGGGCGCTACTGGTGAACACGGAAACGCTTAAAATAGTTTCATAGCTCGAAAACAGTTCTTACAGCATTTTAGTCCACGGCTTCGTGACTCTACGCCCAAAAAGCCATAATAAAATTTTTTTGCAACCAGAAGGCGTTCACAAATTTTTATGATTTTTCGGACATTCAAGAATTTGAAGAAAATAAAACCTTTTGTTTTTAATTGTTATTTATTCGACGAGTTTGAGAGTAAATCGGACGCTTTGTTTCACGAGTACTTTTTTAAACAAGGAGTATTAACCAGTGGTTTATCACTACGATAAGGAATAAATCGAGAAATGCCAAATAGTTGTCAAAACTTCGTTACATAGGAGAAAAACTGTAAATTTTAACAGTGTTGAATAATAAACGATTTTTTTTCAACCTCTAAAACTCGTAAGAATAGAAAAAAAACATTACAGTTTAAAAATTTTTACCCGTTTAAATTTTTGTCCATTTTTACATTTATGAAAAGAGATATTACAATAAATGCGTCATTGGTTCATAGTAGAGAGTTGAAATCGTTGAAATATGTTACGTGTTGTTTTTGTAAATAATTTGCTGTTTTTCAATTTTATGAAATTACTCGTAATAAAACTATCCATTTATCGTAATACAGAGTGTCCCAGCGAGTTGATAAAGTCCATTTGACTTTGAATGTTAATTTTTTTTTAATTATGCGGTGCATCGTAAATTATGCATTTTCAACCATACCGCGTGTTTCAAAAATAAGTTACAGTATAAGCTTATATATTTTTTAAATGAAGTTATGTATTTTCAACTATACCGCGTGTTTCAAAAATAAATTACTTACAAGCTTCTATATTTTTTTAAATAAAACACCATACGTTACTTGGCATTTTTGGATGTAACTTTTTATTACAATGTTCTTAAGTTTAAACTTTTATTAGTCAATTTTGCTTAATTTTTTAGATAAGTTGTTTTTATTTGACGAAAACTTTTTCTAAAGATAAAAGACAAAAACAGATAACTAGAAAAACATTTTTACTACTGAAGAAAAAAACAAACTTTAAAGGTATAAAGTTTTTCAGTGTATTGCATTTGTAAAGAAAAAAAATTGTTGAAGTTAGTTATAAGTTAATTAGCTTAAAAAATTTAGCTAAATGAAATACCCTATTTTTTYTTTTTGCATCTAATAGATTGTTAAATTGTCTATCTAAAAACATAACCTTGTAAATGTCTAGAATTGATAAATAAAAAAATATTAAAAAACACGTGTTTTTTCTATCTTTTGGACAACTGTGCACTATTTGGCTACTGAAACAATATATTTTTTTTATTTTTAAAGTTAAATATTTTTTAGTTATTAAAAATAAAATTTTTTGGGAAAATAATTTAATAATCTCTTGTAAACAAAAACAATAAATAGGGTGTTCCATTTAAATTATGTAAGTTATATTTTGTTTTATCTTTGCAAATGCAACACACTAAAAAATGGTTTATGTTTCAAAGTTTGTACTTTTTTCTAGCTGTCTTAATTTTTGTGTAATAAATTTTTAAAAAGAGTAGATGTTTTTGTCAAGAAGAACAATGTATTTCAAAAACTAAGCAAAATCGACCAACAAAAGTTTAGCTTGAAAACATTGTAATAAAAAGCTACATCCAAAAATGCCAAGAAATATGTGGTGTTTCATTTAAGTAAGTTTGTATTGTAACTTTTTTTGGGGGTCATGCTGTATAGTTCAAAATAATTTCAAGCGATGCACTAGATACATGTTTTCAAATTTGAACACAGGTTACCCTGTATATTAAGTAAATTAACCCATGACTACCCCAATGATCCAGCATGCTAACCCCTTTAATGAACTCCTCATGTCCAAACGAAAACAAGTGCTGTCGTATCTAAATCTAATTCTCTAGCTAGAACTCAAACAAAACTCAGCATTGTTAACAAAACAGACATAGCGCTTGTGTTTTCTCGTGTTGAAAGGAGTTAGTGTTGGGAATGGAGGCAAATATTCTTAATAATAAATTATGAACGCCAATTAAACTTTCAAAAGCTTCTCCTCCCTTCGCATGCAGAGAAATGTGGCTAATCCGCCATTAACAATCTACAAAGCATATCTCATGGTGGACATTTAGTGGCGTCCCTTGTGCATACACGTTGCACTTAATCAACGATCTCATGACAGTCGAAATTCCAGCACCCCCTCAAAGACCCACACTCACCCTCTTGTCTCTGCCGTGGCTAATACTGAGAATCCTGTCGACGTACAGTCGATTATCGGGCACCAGGTGCATCTTGAGGATGTCCTTGAAGCGGTTCTTGTTGCTGATGATGCTGTTGAGGGTGAAGTCGTCCGACCAAGCGTTGTTGCAAGGGGCAAACAGGGTGATGTCCTGGGATCGCTCCAAAGTGTTGTAAAACTCCCGGTAATCGGCGTCGTTGATGGCTTTCACAAAGCTGCTAAGAATGCCCCCGTCTTTCTCCTAACAAACCCAAAAATCAAGCTCCCTAATTGCATACAACGGTTTTCGACCAGTGATTAAAGCGTCACATGCACGATTATTGGAAGCTTTTGAAATTATTTATTTTGGAACAAATGCTTGCCGCGTCCAATATACACATCGATGCAATCGACACGCTTGTCAAACAAATTTCATGCAATTTTTTTGTCGGTTTCATTGACGAGGAATTTTATTAAATTGAAGGAAGATAAGACGCTTATGTGTTATGGAAATTCATGCGATGATAATTAATCAAAACGTTCATTTATTTTATTTACATTAAAAAGATAAAATATGAAAAATTCTACTCTAAATTAATCAAAGTACGGACCGAATAAAAATGATTAATAGTTTTAAATAAAAATAATGCGAGATAAGTCACTTATTTTGGTCAAAATTAGAAAAGTTGATAGTAAAAAATATGTGACATTGCCACTCTCATACACAAAGTTGACGATTATATCTTGAATGTTGAAACAATTTTTTTTCTACAAATTTAATAATCAAAAAAGTGCAGATGTTTCAAACAAAAATAAGATAACTGACACAAAGCAGTGTAGCCGATCTAAAAATAAAATAATCAAAGCTAATTATTGTTTAGATTGAACCTCATTGAGATCCTTCGATTTTTAACAAATCAAGCAGCAGAATATGTAATTAAGACCTGATATAAATTTATACAGAAAGTGGCAACATTGCATTTGAATTTTTCGAGGTAAAATAAATGTATACATTCTGGTATACAGGGTGCGCCAGAACTCGCGCCCCAGAGACAAATTCCAAGTAAAATAAGATACCAGGAACATGAAAAAAATGTTTAAAAAATTCTCTGTCAAAAAATTTTGACATTTATTTTTTGACATTTGACATTTTTTTATATCTATTTAATGATACTGATGATCTGGTATATGTTTTTTTACAATTATTTAGTAAAGGAACAACAATTTTGACAATAAAAGCCACAAATGATATTGAACAGAGTTACAATTTAGGATACAGTTTCCTTGTTTCCTCATTTAATAGCCTATAGCAAAAAAACTTGGAAAATTATTGTTCCAACAGAAATAAATAGAGTCAAAGTGTAAACTTTAAACCCTCATAACTTCGTAATTTTTATAGATAAATTTTTTTAACATTTTTTCCATGTTCCTGGTATCTTACCTTATATGACATTTTTCTTTGGGGCGCGAGTTCTGGCGCAACCTGTATAGGGTGTTTCAGAGCTCTAGCACTAGCTGTCAAAAAATTTTGACATTTATTCTTTGACATTTGTCATTTTTTTTAAGTCTATTTAATGCTACTAATGATTTTGTATTTGTTTTTTATAATTATTTAGTAAAGGTGCCAATAAAAGCTTTCTTTTTTCTCTTCTAATAGCCTCTAAAAAAATCTTGGAAAATTATTTTTACAACAGAAATAAATAGAGTCAAGGTGCAAAATTAAACTCCCATAATTTCGAAATTTTTGTAGACAAAGTTTTTTTTACCATGCTCCTGGTATCTTACCTTATACGTTTTTCTCTGAGACGCGAGTTCTGAAACACCCTGTTTAAAAAAATAATTTGTGTTTTATTTAAAAAGAAAAAAGTATAAAAAGCGACAATTAATGTCATAGATTTGAATCAAGGTATATACCGGGTGCCGAAAAAATATGGACCCAAGCGTTTTCTACTTAAACTACTTAGTTCCTGGAGATCTAACTAGGCAGAAATACTAACAATTTTCAAAATAACATTTTATAAAATATTAGTGTATTTCTTTAGATGACAACCCAAGTTGAGGCCATTCTTCTCCCGTTTGACAACTGCCTAACCTTAATTTTTGGATAGAAATTCATCTTTTCAGAAATAATATTGCAATTTACGAAAGCAAACTCCTCCTACAATAACTTTTAAATTTAATTTCTTTTACATAACTTGTAAACAAAACAAAATTTAAAAAAAATCCTCTTTAAAATTCGTAGTGTTGTATTTTTCTAAACATACACTGTTTTTTATTTTCCAGAAAATACAGAAGTTAATCAGAAATTGCTTGAATATGCAATACCTATGAACTAGGAATAAAAAAAAGTAAATAAATCGTAAAAACAACATCAAATATCTTAAATGAAAACCAAAATAAGTCTAACAACACTATCAGTTTTATTTAATAAAAGCTAAAAATCCAAAGATGGCAAAAAAATGTGTTTTTATTTTAGAGTAGAAATGATAATATTACCATGATATTAAAAAAGATTTGCTTATAATATAATACGTTTATTTAAACATTATTACAAATAAACATGCTTTCGGTTCAGAATCTGTTGTTTATTATATCAGTGTAATTACCAAATAGGAGTAATTACTAATCCACGTTTTTTTCATTCATAAAATACTCTTTAAAAAAATATTTACGCCAATTTTAAAATCTGACAAATATTTCTTTCGATTATTATTGATAATGCTTTTGTAGTAAAAATTATACAGTGAGTGGTAAAATTATGAAATAACCTTATTTACTAAAACTGAAAATATTTGGCTTTGACAATGCTCCAAAATATAAAAAATATAAAATAAGATCTATCAAAATTAAGGGTTTCCATTTAAAAAAGTGTCATTACTCAAAAACCAAAAAATGTGAAACTTTAAATCAAGTTGAGGTTTTGTATTTTTTTAGATTGTTTTGTGTTTTTTACATTAGCATTGTTGCCAAAACTAAATATTTTCAGTTTTAACAACATTATTCCATAATGCCATTCTCTGTATAAAAAAAATTGATATATCAAGATAAAATGAACGATAAAATATGGTATAAAATCATGTTTCATTAAATTCATCCATTTTTAATTTTTCATTCAGTAAGTTGTGATATCTGACCCACATATCTTAGGGAAAAGCCAATAAGAAGATTAAAATTGTTTCCAATTTCAAATCGAATTAATTTAAATGTGGAAATAAATTCTCAATTGTTGAAATAAATTAGAACAAAATGATCGATGTAACCAACCGCATAACATTATTAGTTTAAGCAAGTGTTTTCGATGGTAGAAAAAATATTAAATTTACTCAAAATCAATAATGTGAAAGCATATTCCCGTCCTTTTTCTACAGAACGCCAATCCATAAATACCAGTGCAAGAAGAAGCGTGCATCTACGCCCACAAAAGCACTTTTGTCCAACATTTACACAATATTTTACCTTGTATTGCTGCAGTTTCCAAAAAGATGAGCAGGAAATAAGCGGATGAATTAATGTAGCACGACACATAGCATATTTAAACACTGTGAAAGTGGTGTTTTTCATTCGAACATCACTCCCAAAGCATCAAAAAGCTTACACTAGCGACTCAAAAAATAAACAAATAAAATAAAAATAAACTCTAGCAAATAATTTACGCTGTACGTAATTAGTGAAATTGGCTTTTCTGCTTCGTATTAGTTTGCGGCCATAAATTCGCATTAATTTATGTTTAAATGTAATGGGGATGCGTATGTTGTGTGGTGTGTACAATATGTAAATGTGGTCTTTTATATATTTTTTTAAACATCCTGTATTATTTACACTTGAAGATGACGGTTTAAGCATCCACAGAACATTTACAGCGAGCTAGAGACGTTTTTCTATTTTGCTTCTATAATATGGTTTTGCAAGGTTGGTAGCGGGATCATTGACAAGAAAATGTCAAATGTCAAATTAGAGGTGCAAAATAGAAACTATTCCAACATTACGAAAAATTCGACTACAAGCATTTCAAATTTATTTCGGTCAAAAACCTGTCTAGTTAAGAATTTTTTCCACGTACAAGAAGATACTCAGGGTCTACTTCTTCCATTTTATTGCCAACGTTGCAAATATAATCCACTTGTTCCTGTTCCAAAAAATACATTAATACTGTTTTTATTTATTTATTTTAGTCATAAGGGCGCAATTTGTGTATATTGTTCGTGTTAAAACTGTGTGAAAAAAAATCGTGGTGAAAAAGCTGAAAAACTGCGTGAATTAAACCCCCATTTTGAAAACCTTTAAAATGGGTCCAAGTCAAGCACCTACCTCCAAAAGCTCTCTCACGTTGTTATCTACCACCATCAACGGCTTCTGGATGAGGTGAACCACCCCGTTTTTGACGGGGATGTTGGCTTTGACTATTTCAGACAAAACAACCCCTTGGGAGTGCTTGCCGTCGCTCAACAGAGTATGACTCTTCACGTAATCTAAATAAAAAAAATATATTACACCCTGTGGAGGTTTTAGTCGGTATCAATATTACTTATGACTTGGTTATTGGGGCCTCGAGTTTCTTGCGTGAAGGAAATAACAACTCGAACATTGTTGTCTCCGTTAGCGAGGGTCTGGAAGGGAACGTCTTTTTTTGTCGGGGTGGTGAAAAGGACGTGTTTGGGGATCACGTGACCGTCGATGATTTTGCCGTCGATCAATTCAGCGCGTTTGTTCTGGAAAAGTTTTAATCTACTTTAAAACATTTACGAAACAAACATAACTTTATTAAAAAGTAACTTAAAGTTATGCCTAATTATCAGCAATTAAATATGAGTTCGCCCGGCGCATCCACCATTTTTGCAAAAGCTCTCAAATCATAACACCAAGTAACTATTTTAATAAAAAATTTGTATTAAAAGCAGATTTCAAAAAATGTAATTGCAAAATGTGTTCTTCATGCGTCTTGATATTTCTGTAAACTTAAGTTTCTAAAAAATTAAAAATTTATGGTAATAAAAGCCACAAATAACATTGAACAGAGTTACAATTTAGGTTGCAGCTTCCTTGTTTCTTCTTTTAATAGTCTATAGCAAAAAAACTTGAAAAATTATTTTTCCAACAGAAATAAATAGAGTCAAAGTGCAAACTTTAAACCCTCGTAACTTTGAAATTTTTATAGATAAAATTTTTCCATGTTCCTAATATCTTACCTTATATGGCATTTTTCTCTGGGGCGCAAGTTCTGGCCAGTTTTCCATTTTAACTTAAAAGTAAAATATACGTCATCTAAGCTGATTCACCCTGTATATCCATTACATTACGGTTCTGTTTTCAATCTTCACATATTTGTGTTGATTATTCACTACCTCTTGTTGCAAAATATATTTTGGTCACATACAGAGTGATTCAATTGTGACGAGTTTTAAACAAGATGATCAAAAAAGCAAATGTGGAACTATTTTTTTTTATTATTAATTAAATTAAACTTCCAAACGTTAACTTTGTTAAAAATCAAACATATTTCATAGTCGTAGACAAAGCATAGTATTCTACTTGCATAAAATGGCTATTATACGAGTCTTCCATTCGTTTCACCTTCGTGAATAATAGTCATCATTATATGCTCGTTAAATAATACAGGGTGTATCATAACTCGTGTCCCAGAGAAAAATGTCAAGTAATATAAGATATCAAAAACATGAAAAAAATGTTTAAAAATTCTGTCAAAAAATTTTGACATTTATTTTTTGACATTTTTGTCCATTTCATGCTAACAGTAATCTTGTATACCAGGTGAATAAAAAGTATGAAACAAACGTTTGCCTAAACTATTTATTTTTTGGAAAAACTAATTGATAAATGATAAAGTAAGTACTATAAAAATGTGATGTTTTATAAAACATAACTTTTTTGTAAATTTTCTTTTGTTTTTGAGTTCTACAAAATTTTTATTTTTTTTTTTAAATGGCGACCCACTATACAATCATTTTTCTCATAAAGTTTATTCTACGGATTACAACTATTTACTTTATACTTAATTTTTCCAATTTTTTTTTTACATAAATTGCAATTTTGACGAAAAAATCGCATAACTCAAAAACAAAACAAAATTTCGTTCTCAAAATATGATCACATATTTTATATTACTTAATTTGTATTAATTATTATTTTTTGGAGACAATACTTTATAATCACCCTGTATGTTTTTTTTTTCATTGTTATTCAGTAAGGTATAATCCTTATAATAAAAGCCACAAACAACGTAAAACATAGTTAAAATTTAGAATACAGCTTCCTTGTTTCTTCTTGTAGAAAAACATGTAAAATTATTTTCCAACAAAAAAGTGCAAAATTTAAACCCCAATAAATTTCGAAATTTTTATAGAAAGACTTTGTTTTTAATATTTTTTCCATGTTCCTGGTATCGTACCTGTATAGTATTTATCTACTACTGACTATTTAAAGAATAAATCTTTTGTTTAACATTTATAGCAATATAAATTTAGTTTTTAGCAAAAATTGGTGAGCGAGAGCAAAACAAAATTTAATTTCAGAACAATTATTCAGGCTAAATAAGTTTTTCGTGTGAGAATTTATAGAGTAATTTATGAAACTAATAAAAATATGAATTTTCACGATACCTTAAATCCCTCGTCGACAGGGATGAAAAACGTGTGCCCTCCCTCCGTTTTAAATATATCTTGTTTGTTGTGCTGTTGCACTTTTTGCCGGAAATACCTGTATGTAAATCCCAATTAGTTCGAGCGTTTTCAGACCAAATTGCGCAAATTATTACACAAGAAACAATGCAATTTTTCAACTCACCTCAATCGATGCGGATGAAAAATCAGCGACTCGTAGTACTCGAGAAATTCGTGGGCTGTGGGGTTGTAAACCCGATGTTGTGCGGTTTTGGCAGATCTCGTGGGAACCAAGACCTCGTCAATTTTATGTAGAACCTGAAAAAAAAATAAAACATTCCAGTCGGAAAAGTCGCAAGGGCTCGCGGGACCCTCTTTAAATCCACTTTCGAGGGGGATGCGTGTCGTAAAACCCCCGACTTTTGAGATTCGCGATGATAATCCTTGAGCGTAGGAAAGCTAATGAGTCTGTGTAGAAATTTTGTTGGACCTTATTTTACGATAATCGGGCTTTTTGCCCTTTTTGGCAGCCATAATGCGACATGAGTGGATCATAACATCCCCATAGACACGATAAATAACGCTAATTATTCTGAATGGCTAATTTCGGGGGGTCTGTAAATTTTGTTATACACTTGGTAATAATAAAGTTCATGTTAGGGTCTAAGTTTTGGTGTGTTTATCACCCCGGGGGTCATTGCAGCTCCTTTTACTTGATCGCGGGAGATTTATTGAGGCAATATCTATACAAAATAATAACGGTTTAAGCCTTGTTGAAACTATTCCAATAACAGTACAATTCAGTTTTAGGTAATTGTCTTTGTGTATTTACGTTGTCGAAAGCTATTTTCATTCATATAATTATAAGTTAATAACCAAGTTTACCTCTTGGAGAGTACTTCATGAAACAACGAGTTTATGCTAACGTGGAATTTGTTTGTCAGTTCCTTTCTACGAAAATAAAGCGATTCGGATTTTACTGTAAATTTTGTAGAATTTCAATTGGTTGTAAAACAAGCACTTGTTTCAATGATCCAAATGTTTTCATGAATTTTATCTCCAAACAAAGTTTTTGAGCTTTGTTTTGCTTATCATGTTAAAGTTATGAATTTAATTAAAATAATAAGTATTTTTTTTTAATAAACGTAAATAATTTTCATAAAATAAAATACTCAAAAGTTGTTTTTTTATCACTATTTAACGAACAAGTTTGTAATGAAAATCGTACGTGCGTTAATTGACAATACTAATTAAGTTAAATAGTTGGAATTAGTTAATTCTGAATTACAAATTTGAATTGCATTTGTATTTGGTGTATCAAAAATTTCATACCACTGATAATATTCTGTACCTTTTCCACAATTAGTAAATAGTTTTTGTTGTTACAACTAATTAAAAAAACAAATCGTTGCTATTTATGGGCGAGGCAAAGCCAAGTCTGGAATAGCAGATGAATCCGCAAAAACTTTTTAGGTACGTGTTACATACAACATTTTTGTGTTGAAGCCACCAAAAACGCACCCAAACCTATTGTCGTTTTAGGCGGCACATGAAAAAGGCTCATTTTAAAAATTCAAATAAGTCAGTAAAACAGTTATTTTTGTGAGCGTATACATTTTTTTATTTATAATAATCTTTATTAATAATCACGAATAGGTATAGTTAAAAGTAATATGCCGGATTCTTGTTAATGTTATTTATCTTTAAATGAGCCATAATTTATATAGCTATCCAGAAACTTGAAAAAACTGAACTTTCTTTTCGTATTCCTACAAAATACAGGACTGTGCCAGAACTCGCGCCTCAGAGAAAAATGCCACGTCAGGTAAAATACCAGGAACATGGAAAAAATGTAAAAAAAAATCCATTTATAAAGTTTTGAAGTTGAGACTTTATATTTTGCACTTTGTCTCTATTTATTTCTGTTAGAAAAATAATTTTACAAGTTTTTTCTACAGACTATTAGAAGAGTAAACAAACAAGCTGTATCCCTAAATTGTAACTCCGTTTAACGTTATTTGTGGTTTTTATTGCTAAAATTTGTGTACCTTTACTAAATAATTATTAAAAAAACACACAGTATGTCCCCGGATTGAGTTTACAAGAGGAAAAAAGTTTTATCTTTGATTTTACGGCAAAACTGCACATGAAAAACATTTTTTGCTTCACCTGAAACGAGCAAATCAGAAATTAAAACTTCATTATTCTAACTCAGTAGAAATAAAATTCATTTTTCTCTTCATTTTTGACTTAGAATAATTTTTTTTGAAATTTTTCTCTGGGGCGCAAGTTCTGACACACCCTGTATATTCGTAACAAAATTTATTTAATTCTTTTCTACAATAATAATAATATTTTTTCATTTTTAAAAGCACAAGTATCTATTTATTTTTATAACTTATAATTTTTAAATAGTATAAAATCATTGTTGTATTAACTCGCAGAATAGTCGACAAAACTCAATTTTATTGTTTCGTATAAACTTAAATTCAATTTTTTATATTAGTCTAATTTGGTGAATTGTTAATTTCTATCGATGAGTAAATGTTAATAATTATTATTTGTTTTGATTAAACTTTTTGTCGATATTTGCACATCACCTTTTTAATTAACAAAAAACGCAAAAATGTATTATAAAAAGCAAGTTCGACAAACAATTCTACCAATTTTATTTTATGAAATAAACAAATTTCATTCAAAAACCAAGCCGACAAGTAATTATTGATTACGTATTTAATCAATCATTAATATTTTGTTACGTACTTATTTTATCTGTACGTTATTTTAGTAAAATTAAAACAAAATCAAAATGGGTTTTTATTTACATACCTACTCTAAATAAAATCCACCAATTTTAAAATGCTGCATAAAATAAAACCCAATTGAATTTACTTACAGCAGATGAGAGTTTTCCCATCAAAGTTGCACGTTTTAGACAAGAATTCCTGTAATGTGTTAATTTTAAAGTTTTAAATATTTTCTTTCAACCAAAAGAAAACAACCGTTGTACGCAAATTATAACAACTTTTGTTTTAATTATTTTTCCTGAAGTAACGTACTCCATGTTGATGCTAGAGGAAAAAGCCCGTCAAAAATAATTTCCAATGTGGACATATTAAACAAATTTATCGCGGGCAATTTTCGTATCTCCGTGCTCGGGTATTCCCCCGAGTCATAAAGAAGCGTCTTCGTTCAATAAATGTTTTCTAGAAGCGTTGCCTATTAGAATTCAGCAATGTATTCCTCTTGACTCGGTCCCTATTGAGTGCGACACGCAGACAGACCACTTGAAGAAAGCCTCCCCAATCCCACTTTTGCCACGGACTCTTTTAAGGTCACGTCCTTCTTATCACAGACTGCTTCTTCCCTCGCTTGATCTAAATCAAGTCGGGGACTCACCTGAATGTTGCCATTCTTCTGCTTCGTCATGATATCCGACTGGCTGACAAGGAGTCGGGCATTGTTCACGTAGATGTCGTTGTGGTAATTCCCTGTTGTATGTGTAATCCAAAGTGGCGGATTTCCTTCCAGTTCCGAGTTGAGGGAAGTGTAAGAGGTGCCCAGTTGGGTGGTCTTTTTCGGAATTGAAGCTGGAAAAAAATTGTTATGTTAGAGCGACGGTGTAATGAAGCCATCAAAGCTGGGCCGTAATTACAGGCAATTTGGCATAATGAGGTAACTTTTAATTGTTGAAAGTTGGGCGATTAGGAGAGGTGGGTTGAAAGACTTAGATCGTAAAAAAATAATACTTTGTTTACGGAAGTAGCCGTAGTAGTTTATTATCTAAAATATTAATTCATCGAGTTAGTTAGAATTCTTTCTCAGTGTTACTAATTTGTTTGTACATTAAAAAAATATTTGCACTCAATAGTTTCTAGCCACTTACAAAGGCAAAAAGACAAAAAATTAGTAAAAATTTTATCTGACACACTTCTACAAAAGTACACTACTCTAAAATATTAAGAAAATAAAAATATTTCTTACATTTTTTGGTGATTTTTGAAAGGCTGTATCTCATCGAAAAATAAATCACATCTAGATTAAAAAAAAAGCATTTTAAAACTGTAGCTTTCTAGTTTTGAGATCTTTTGGCAAAAAAATGTTCTAGGCTACGGTTATCATGCAATCCTAAGAAACAGCGCGAGAAAAAAAATGAATTGGAAATTTATTTGTTTTTGTTCTTGGTCCACGAACTTAAATAAATTTTTATTAGTTAAATCCCGGCCGGGTAGTCTGTCCATTCAGCTTCATTTGTTTTTTTTTATGTTCTTTTTTCGTCATTTGTCGCTGAGATATTTGACTTTAAATGACAAAAATCATTTTGTCTTTAATCTTCGATAGCTCACCAACCAAGGACCGCACAAAGAATGTGAGAGCAGTTTCAAAAACTGGAATAAATATCTTCCAAAATCCTTTTACGAATTTTTAAAAAGAATCTACCCTCAACATTGATTTAAAGAAAAGAGGAAAAAAGCAACTTTTTGCGTTGTTTTAGTAAATCTACAGCGAATTCACAAATATTGATGGAGAGACTAATGTTTTTAGGTGTTTTTACAGCCTAATATACCGCTAATAGCCCTGTAAATTTTTAAATCGATTAAATCGACCGATTGATCAGAATTTTACAAAAATTAAGGAAACAAATTGTACATATTGTTTGTGAACATTGTCCAATCTTCATCAAAATGAAAAAAACAAATTTTTGTTTAAAACTTCTGCATTAGTTATTTCTTAAATAAAAAAATCCAAAAAATAAGA